ACACCATGGTCACTACACACAAGTTTGGTCAATTGCACAAAAACCCTTCTTTAAAACCATAATCCTAAAGTGGCCTAAAAATAATTTCAAGACTTAATTTGGAGCATACACTTGTTACTCATCCAAACCAACAAGTGGTCCAATCCTAGGCCAACTAATTGGTGAATCTCCACCCTCCATGTGTCAAGAGATTAAGATTTCAAGTGGTTCCACCAAAATGTCAACAAGTGGTTCCATAGGAGTGTGACACTTGTCACACTTTCCAACAATTGCAAAAAGGTCCTTTTCTAAAATATCTTCCAAATTAAATTGCAAAATGGTCCCTAAGACGAAAAATAATGTAATTACACTAAAACCCCAAAAGTTAAGAATATTACAAAAAGGTTATGCATCTATACCCTTTACAATAAAAGTAAACACTTAGTATGCTTTTTTAAGAAAGTAAAAATACGCATAGCATGGAATTTAAATACCGTGGATGCATGGAAAACCGGAATCAAATCCGAACACGAAAAGTGAGGTTGTGCCAACAAAGTGACAAACAGGAAAAAGACGAAAAGTGAATAGTGTCGAAAAACGAAAAATGTGAAAATAACGCGGTCCTTGATAGAAGTTGTTAATCCAAAAGAAAGAGTCTCAGAAACCATTTCCGAGTACCCGAGATGACACTAAGTGACAAGAAATCAAACCCAGAAAAGAAATTTCAACGAAAAAAATTCATCCGTAAAATTCCAAGGAAAAAAGGAAAGGAAGGAAATGACCGGGTCATTACAAGATCCCTACCACACCAAATTCTACCTCCATCCACAGCATCATAATTGTTACACCATTGCCAATGTGGTCTAATTTTTGTGCTAATCTTACTAAACTTATCCCTTTGGACTCTGGTCTCTACCAAACACACCAAAGCCAAAGTGAACTTACTCAACCAGGAATGGACCACAAATTGCATCCTTTTTCCTGTTGGGCCCTGTAACATTCCACATTCCTATCATAAGGTAATAGCAATTGGTGGAATAGCTCCACCAGCAACCATATCTCTACTAATCCTAGTCATAACAACTTCATTCTCAACTTCCTTCTTCCTAAACACAAACGGATTTATCTACAACTTGACAGAGGGTTAATGAATGAAGAAGTACTTCCTTGAGAAGACCCCTCCGCAAACGAACACACGGACTAATAGTCAATTTATCTTGTATCACAACATCCTCATGAATCGCACCTAGATTAATGATCTAATGTCCCATTTGCACAGGTGAACCATTAGCCTGTGTCTTTAGTTCCACAGCTGTACCCTCTTTACTCAAAGTTTCACATTGTATTGTCACAACAACATTTTCCTCAGACTCCACTAGTCTAGCCCTTGTCCCTTCAAGCTGTAAGGCTACATCAGTAGTAACCTCATTAATTTCCACATTTTCTTCCTCAACATTCTTTAATTTCTCAGCAGCAACCTCTTCAAAAATAGGCAAAGTATCCACTATACTTCTATCTAAGCTATCTTGAACAACAGCAATAGCCTCCTCCCCATTGACAACCACAATAGGATCCAACTCCTTATCAACTAGGATCATCTTTCCTTTTTGATTTTCCACCCATTCAAAAGCGACCCTTTTCTTCTTCACTATCATTGGACAATTAACTTCAGCATGTCTATAGCCATTACATTTCCTACACAACTATGGTTTCCAATCATATTCCACGACAATCTCACATGCAGTGTCATGTATATCAATATGAATAACTTCAGGAAGTTCATTATGAACATCCTAAATCATATTACCAGCAGCATCCTCAAGCTTAGTAATATTATTATGCACTCTCCTAGCCTTGATCTTTTGATAAAAATACTTTGAACTTCTGTCTTGATCTTTAATCTAACTAATTATAGCCTTCTGTGATAACAAAGTTTCCTCATTGGATTGGGTAGCTTCATAGGCTCTCTTGGACTCAATCTCCCTCTGAATAAGACTCTCATTATGAGGACAATTGAATAAATCAGTCTGGCAAACTTCAAGATCCCTCTTGGCTATAATTAAATTTTCAAAAACTGATCCAAACTTAGTTCTATTCCACACCTTGACAGCTTCCTTAACCCCTTTAAGCTTCTTTATAACCTGTGCAATTGGATCACCAGGAACAGCGGTTTGCCAAGCTTCAGCAACCACTTGCTTCACCATAGATTGAGTATTCCATAAGTATAGAAATAGAAATGGTTTAGGACCTGAGGCAACCTGCATTGGAAAATGAACACAAATCCCCCAATGATCTGATGCCAAAAGAGGAGTGAGTTCAATTTGAATAGATGGGAAAGGATCACTCCATTCTTCATTCATTAACCCTCTGTCAAGTTGCAAATAAATCCTCCTTGTAACATGTCTCTTAGATAAAGAAGCACTTCCTTAAGAGGACCCCTCCACAAACTACCACACCATATATGGACTAGTAGTCAATTTATCTTGTATCACAACATCCTCATGAATCGCACCTAGATTAATGATCTAATGTCCCATTTGCACAGGTGAACCATTAGCCTGAGTCTTTAGTTCCACAGCTGTACCCTCTTTACTCAAAGTTTCACATTGTATTGTCACAACAACATTTTCCTCAGACTCCACTAGTCTAGCCCTTGTCCCTTCAAGCTGTAAGGCTACATCAGTAGTAACCTCATTAATTTCCACATTTTCTTCCTCAACATTCTTTAATTTCTCAGCAGCAACCTCTTCAGAAACAGGCAAAGTATCCACTATACTTCTATCTAAGCTATCTTGAACAACAGCAATAGCCTCCTCCCCATTGACAACCACAATAGGATCCAACTCCTTATCAACTAGAATCATGTTTCCTTTTTGCTTTACCACCCATTCAAAAGTGACATTTTTCTTTTTAACTATCATTAGACAATTAACTTCAACATGTGTATAGCCATTACATTTCCTACACAACTGTGGTTTCCAATCATATTCCACAACAATCTCACATGCAGTGTCATGTATATCAATATGAATAACTTCAGGAAGTTCATCATGAACATCCACCTCAACCATAACTTTGACAAAACCTTCACACTCTCTAGTAAGAGTAACCTCATCTAGGAATAAAGGCTTAAAAAATTGAGAACAAACCCTAGCAATAGACATATTTCCTCTGCAATGCATAGGCAATCTAATCAATCGAACCCAAATAGGAACTGATCCCAAAACCTCTTTCTCTAAATTCACATTCTTCTCCCAACGCTTAAAAATCATGGGGCGACCATGATACGTATGTATCCTCTGCAAGATATTATGAACAGCTTCCGCATTCTCGAATCATATCATGAAAAAACCTCCTAGTAGAGATACCAATTTCATCACGCCCACAGACTTCCATATACGCTTCAAGAAATCATTAAAGTGTGGAAAGTATGGGCGCTTTCCCACCACGTAACCTACAATTGAATGTTTCCAGTATTCTACTTCTTCTTCAACATCCTGATCCAAGATTTTGATCACCTTTGCACCTCGGCATTCTGGTATATAAGGTAGTTTCTCCATCTTCTTCTGTACTTCAACATCAAATAACTTCCTCCACGATGGAGGAGATGGACCCTTTTCCTTGTCCAGGACTAGTGCCTAAGGATTACTAGCCCCCATCAGCATGATAGAGGAAGAAGGACCCTCCCTCATAACTGTCAAACCCACCAGTCCTCACCGCCGGCCGTCGTTGTCTGAACTATAGCTTTGGAAACCCTAGTAACTACCGAAACCCTAAATCGTCCAGTTTAGAGAGAAAAAGGGCAAAATAGTAAGATACATGACATTAGTTCGATACCTTTCTTTCATTTTTTGGTCTTCTATAATGACAAAAAATTGATGTCTTTAGACCTAAAGTCGCTATAATAGGGATAAAATAATTAATTAGATGTATATTAACAACACTTTAGCAAGTTTAGTGTAAGTAGGGATGTCAATGAGACAGGTTCAAGACATGACACCCCTTTCCCAAACCTGTCCCACCAAATAAAAAAAATTTCCCAAGCCCAGCTCAGAGGGGCCGGATGTACATATTTTTAAATGAAAAATAATTCAATTTATTAAAGATAAATTTTGTAAATTTTCTTGTAGCATACTCAAATTTTTTTGTAGCATAATAACAAACATATTATTAAAATTTAAAATTATCATAAGAAATAAAAGAAAAAAGAAAAATTATAACTAGTAAAATAATATTTATTCATAATTAATTATTAATCAAGGTTGAGGACTTTGCGAGTTCTAAACTCTTTTCCCAAACCCACCTCTAACCCAATTAAGATGATCCCAAACCTGTCCCAATAAGGGCGAGGTAAATTAACATCCCTAGTTATAAGTTAAATATGTATCACATACCCTTGAAGAATATGTACAGATCCCAAAGGGGAAGCCCACATTGATAGTGGGCAGGACGTGAATCAACCATTATATATTTAACCCCAATGGACAAGCCCATCCCAACCCAAAGAGACTCAAATGGTATAAAACAAATAGCCCAATTAGTGACTACTAACAAAACTAAATTCTGACAGTTTGTGAGTGTCAGAAATCCGGTAACAAAGCCAATTGCAGCGTCGAAGAACTGCATTTCCGATCAATCAGGTGGCCTCGGTGGTGGTCGAAGTGTACAGCTAAGAATTGCTTATGCACCTGATGTGGTGGCGCTATAACTAGATGATTAGGAATTCCCAGGATCAATTGAGACATTATTCGTCACCACAAGAAGTTTGGACACGTTAATCTAGGGCACAACTAATTCTCTCAAACAAGGAATAACAAATAAATTTAATATGTTGGTGCAAACAATTCAAGAATCCTCCAAGAATCTAAAGAAATAAGCATACAACTACATTTTTTTTCACGCTCTATATCAATCTATTAGTTGAAAGAATAATTTTATACTGCAAACAATTCAAGAATCCTCCAAGAATCTAAAGAAATAAGCATACAACTACATTTTTTTTCACGCTCTATACCAATCTATTAGCTGAAAGAATAATTTTATACTGCAAACAATTCAAGAATCCTCCAAGAATCTAAAGAAATAAGCATACAACTACATTTTTTTTCATGCTCTATATCAATCTATTAGCTGAAAGAATAATTTTATACAATTGGCCACCCAATATCATGAATATTTTAGTCTCTTCCTGGTCCAGCCTGAACAAAAAACTTATGGCAAACTCTGCATAAAAAGATAAATCTAAGTTGATAAAACAGCTGGTTTCTGTGTAGCCTCTTCACCTTGCAAGCTCTCATAATATTTGACTAGGACTTCCCATCCCCCAGGACACATAAAACCATCAGGAGGGTTCTCACCGTTTCTTGCATAAGTCCGCATCTGCAATCAATAAAATTACAAACACAAATATTAAAATAACAGTAAAACATATCTTCCTCAATATTTATGAAAAGATGTCCTTGGACTTCAAGATTGCAAATTACTCTCACTCTAATATTTTTTTTTAACAATTATCTGAAATTTGAAACCATTCAAAATGTCTCAAATCTTAAACAATTTCTAATTTCAAAAAGTTTGATAAATTAAATAAAATTATAATATTCTTATATCTATTGTGCTAAAACATAGGGGTTTCAAGTTATTCTAATTTAGCCAAAACAGTGGATACCGGAGAGCAAGGCCCAAAATAGATCTAAATAAATTAACAAAAAAACAAAACTGATTTTTAAATTATTACAATTAGAGTTTGAACGCAGCAATATTAATCAATTAAGTATAGATAGCAAAAATAAATAAATCAAGCAACCACTTTTATGTGGAAAATTCCAAGGAGAAAAAACAAGGGAGATAATCCAGAACACTGAATCCACTATGATAAAGAAGATTACAACTAGGTTACAGTTCTCCAAACATAAGAACCCCTACTTACCTCCTTGACACAAAATTATCCTCAAACTCTCCTCAAGTCTCTAGGCACACAATCCACTTGTCAACAGACTTCATTCACAAATCTATTTCTCACACCAGTAATTCAGTTTCAACCACTAGTCATCCAGGTTGTGTGTGTTGTGTAAAAAACATGGGTGTTGATGACGATGAAAGCTCCACAAGATGATCAACACTCAAAATAATAATTCCATCTCATGCAAGATGTAGATGATGAAAAACAAAAATATGATCTCTCTATATAAAATCTCTTAATAATGTGTGTAGAGATCTCTTTGTATATTTGTGTCTTTTTGAGGGACTATATTGTATAATGCTTTGTGTTTGCACTGCAAAAATCTGTCCGTTCCAAGTGGAAGGTGGAAGGTGCGGTCGTGCCAGGATTTGCCGAGAATCCAATGGAAATGGAATAGTGCCAAACTATATTCCAAATCTGACCGTGAGAGACTTGAGGCTCAGGCGATTGTGGAGAGCTTGGAATGACTGCTCTCACGGAGTTCTTTTTGCCTTTGTGGAAAAAGACTTCGGAAATGGAGTGATAGAAAGGAAACGGATGAAAATGTTTGGTAAAAGTGCTGCTGAAAGAATGAAATGAACTAAAATGAAGTCTGAATTTCATTAAACTAGGAACTGAAGTACAAGTGCTGAAAATTAAAGGAATTGAAATACATGTGCGGGAAATTAAAGTGCTTGAAAAGTAAAGATTACACTAGGAAAAGATAAAGTGCATGAATTGAAATGAAAAGTAGATGAAAATAGGAGTTGTTTGATTTGTTTGGAGATGCCTTTCATTTAGTCCAAGTCTTCTATTTATGGCCAGTGGCAGTTCCATCTGTTGTTGAGATGCTTCCATGTGGGACATCCGATTTGTGCCACATGTCCCATATCCCCCTTAGTCTTTTCAGAATGTTGACACGTGTAAAGACATGCTCTCCCATGAATTGCAGCCCAATTGAAGACTTCTAGCCACGTTCGGTAACTGCCAAGCGGAATGGACCATGATCTTTTAACTGCAGGTAACTACTCCTCCATTAGCTGCCATGTGTCCCATGACTTTTCTACTTGTGGGTAACTATCTCTCCTTGCTGACACGTGTCCCTATGCATTACTTGTACCAATGGCTTCCTCTAATGAAGCCACGTGTCGCTTCAGGATTGCATCCTTATCTGCATATCGCCCTTCCAATTGGAAACGTTCACTCTTCCATTGGAATCAGCCACAACAACCTTTCCAACTGGAAATGGCAGATAGTTATGGTGTAAACATTGCCCCAAAAATTTTATGTGCTGGATATTCTCTGAAGAATAGTAAGGCATATAAAATTTTAGATTGAGTGAAAATTTGGCATGTGATATTCTGCTAGAGGAGGAACGGGACAACTAGAAATTTTCAACCGGAATGTACCGTATGTCTGAAAACTTTAATCAGCCTATTATCTAGGCCAAAAGTTGTAAAGAGGATTTGGATCCTTCTATCCCACACCCACCCCCACCCCCCCCCCCCACCCCCCCCCCCCCCCCGCGCGCGCGGCGCGGGAGGTCTGGAGGTTTACTAGGAGGATGAATTTGTACATCTTATGGCCAAATACACAGTTGATTAGCTACATTTTGCCCCCCTAACACCACTAGAAGTGGGTTTGGGTCTACTAGAAGGTTGTTCCTCCATCAAGGTTTCTTTGGAGGGGGTTGTCCTTCAAACGCCATTGGAAAGGCCATAGGTGGCGCGATTGCAAATTGTTGAATGCTCATAAATAAAACATTCTGTTGGACCTGAGATGGAGGTGGCTGGACTAATGTTGGTGGAGGATACTGTACATGCAGTGGAAGTGATTGAATTACTATTGGTGGAAGGTTCTACACTTAAGGTTCCACTTCCACTTGAAGTGAACCTGAACTGGTGGTGGTTGCGGCTGCACTAATGGTGGAATCGGTGTCTGAGGTGGTAGTCATTTTGACGGGTTTGTACATGATGGTAGGACCTTTCTCATTCTGCTATTGCATTTCGAAAACATTCTAGGAGCTTTTCCTTGAGTTGTCGGAAATATTGCTCACGTTCTTCGGCAATAAATAGGTTCAGACTCGTTGAAATTCTTCTTCCATCCATTACCTCCAATTTCTTTAACCGGGTGTGCCACTATGTTTGCACTGAAATTATGTTCATTCCAAGTGGAAGGTGGAAAGTGGAAGGTGCGGGCATGCCTGGATTCGCCGAGAATCCAATGGAAATGGAATAACGCCAAACTATATTCCAAATTTGGCCATGAAAGGCTTGAGGCTCAGGCGATTGTGGAGAGTTTGGAATGACATCTGTCGTGGGGTTCTTTTTGCCTTTGCGGAAAAGGACTTCGGAAATGGAGTGACAGAATGGAAAAGGATGAAAATTTTTGGTAAAGGTGTTGCTGAAAGAATGAAATGAACTAAACTGAACTGAAAGTCTGAATTTCATTAAACTAGGAATGGACATACAAGTGCTAAAATTAAAGGAATTGAAATACATGTACGGGAAATTAAAGTACTTGAAAAGTAAGGATTACACTAGGAAAAGATGAAGTGCATGAATTAAAATGAAAAATAGATGAAAATAGGAGTTGTTTGATCTGTGTGTAGATGCATTTCATTTAATACAAGTCTTCTATTTATAGCCAGTGGCAGTTCCATATGTTGTTTAGATACTTCCATATAGGACGTCCGATTTGTGCCACGTGTCCTATGTCTCCCTTAGTCTTTTCAGAATGTTGACACGTATAAATATATGTTCTCCCATGAATTACAGTTTTGGATGAGTAGGTTTGGTGGTCAAATGCCAATTGAAGGCTTTGAACCACGTTCTGGAACTACCAAGTGGAATGGACCATGATCTTCTAATTGCAAGTAACTGCAGGTAACTGCTCCTCCATTAGTTGCCATGTGTCCCATGACCTTTCAGCTTGTAGGTAACTGCTCCTTCATTGTCCGCCATGTGTCCCACGACTTTCCAACTTGTAGGTAACTGTCTCCCTCTTTGCTGACACGTGTCCCTATGCAGTTACTTGTACCAAATGACTTCCTCTGATGAAGTCACGTGTCGCTTCATGATTGCATCCGTATCTGCAAAGCGCCCATCTAATTAGAAACGTTCACCCTTCCATCGGAATCGACCACGACAACCTTTCTAGCTGGAAATAGCCAATAGTTATGCTATAAACACTTCGGATCCAAAAGAGTTAGGGTTTCTTAGTTAATCATAATAGAAAAACTTAGACCTTTTAGGATTCTAATTTAAAGAAGTTTCCAAAAACTTTTCCCGCACGGTTCGATTGATCAACAGCTACTAAACAGTGTCCAGTCATCAACACTTGATCAAGTTGTTTTGCACTTCAATATAAGTTTTTGGAAATTATCGGCCAATCGATGCTTACTTTTTTGAAAAATTTCCAGTATAAATGTATTTACTTCAAAAACATATTCATGCATCCAAAACATTGTTTTCATGAATCAAAACGTATATGCATTGCAACATTATGCACTAAACGACGGTGCATGATTATGAACCCTAATCAATGATTTAGTTATTTAATTGGTGATTTAATTTTTTTTTTCCCTTAATGTATCTTCAAATTCTTATTCTAATCATAAACATAGGTACCACCACAGACTAACCAGCTAAACTAACTTTTGAAAATCTAATCCAAAACTAAAAATAAAATACCAACTCTGTCTTTGGTAACAACATTTGTCTAACATTAAGTTCTAATCCTAACAGTGTCTTTCGTGTAAGTAACTCTAACCACCCTTGTTAGAGTTGGGAATCTTAACATCAGAAAAAATGTAAACGTCCTTTTACCATTTTACCCTCAATGTTACTATATAAAAATTACCAATAGCAATAAAAATTAAATTACAAATGTTTCCTCAACCAACAAATTTCTTTCCTATGTCTTTCTCTTCCTCTCTGAAATTTCAACTGGAATCATATAAAAATACCAATAGTCCGTTTCTCACTAAACCAATGCCACCCCACACTAGGGCTGCAACTCGGGTGGGTGGGCCCAACCCAAAATAACCCAAGCCTAGCCCGAAATTTTGTGGCCTTGGGCAATATTTTTCTAATTTCAATTTGGGCCTAGGCTGTATATTTTGAGCCTGAATTCAATTCGGGCTAGGCTTGGGTTGATATGGATGAAGCCCGAAGCCCAACCCGAGCCTGAAAATATTATACATATTATAATTATACTTCAATCACAAGAGTGTAATAGTCAAGTTGGTAGTGTGTTTGGGATTTATGCTTCAGGTTTGAATCATGGGTGTAGCATTAATTGATTTATTTTTTACACACAAATTCTTATGAGGTGGGCTTAGTGCGGGCTCAGGCTGGACAAATTATGTATGGGCTGCTTGGACAGCTCGGCTCGGGCTTAAGGCGGGCTCGGGCTGAAGATTTTCTATATGGGCCTA